TGGAATGATGCAACAAGTACAGGAAAGTCTGCTAACCAGCCAGAGGTGGTATCTAACAGTGTTACCAGAGTTGACTTAACAGCTCTTCACTCTCTATGAGCTGGATACAGATGGAAGTCTGTAAGTGTTGCTTGAAGCATCTGCAGGCCTATCCTACCCTTCTTATGTGTTAAGTAATATCCTATCATAAAGGGCACACAATTACTTGCATACAGTGTTTTCTCAGTCCCCCACATTTCAGCCATTGACTCAGCCCCTGGGAAAATGCTAGTCCTCCCTGTCTCTGGGGTACTCCACCTGCCTTTTGGGGTTAAGGGAATGTGACACTTGCTATAATGATTTATACAGTTGCAAGAAAAAAGTATGTGAACCCCTTGGGATTCTGTGGAGTTTTGCATGAATTGGTATAAAATGTGCTCTGAACGCCATCTAAGTCACAACAATAGAAGAACACAGTCTGCTGAACATAATACTACACACACCAAATGTTTCCTGTAGTTGCAGATCAGACCTGCACAACGATCTGGAGTAATTTTGGACCTGTTTCAGTGTAGCAATATTTTTGGGATGTCTGGTGTGAATCGCTCTCTTAAGGTCATGATTTTCCCCATAGTTTTTGTCAATTGATGAAATTCAAATTGATTTTTGTTTCGTTTTTTGCACTGAAAAGATGAACAGCAAACCAGACACACAAAATGGACAACAACAGTCAAAAATACAAAAATAAAACAACAAATGAAAAACAAAACAAAAACAAAATGACGTCCCCTATATACCAAGCACAAAATACCATACTGAAGGAGATGCTGGAAAAAAAAAACAAACAAATGGTCCAAATTAAGGAAAATACATTCTCCTGAGATTTGGTAGCCTTTCAATCATACCACAAATATGAACAGAAGTCAGATGGAAATATTTCAGATAATTCTACATCCTTTTCTGTTACTTTCTTACATTATACACTCTAGCATAGACAACGTGACATCGCACCTAGAACAAGCAGGAATACATTGAGGTCAAGTTGTGATGAGTCACATTTAAACCTCAACATTTTGTTAGCTGTGAAACAGTTAGGGTCATGTACCTCTGCACAAGTGAATGCAACTGTTTCTTCATGGGCAAGACACGTAGAATGTTTGGGCAAAGAATTAAAAGTTAATGAAATCAATGGAGGTAACTTAAAAAGCCTGATAGACATTTTGCAAGTAACTGCAATAACAGCACAGAATCTCTACAATTCCTAGATCTTAATAGTAATTAATAAACACAGCTCATTACAAACAAAGTCCATATATCTAGTGTTTCATGCTCGTGTACTTCAATATCAGTGGCACATGCTCTGAAAAATTCAATGCATGGGGGAAGGGCAAACAACAGCAAGGAGAAGTACATTAAAGAAAGGAAGGTATCTACCCACAAAGATCTGGGGCAAGGGAGGAGGATAACATGCAGTATAGAACCCCTAAATATAGGGTACCTGTTCAAAATAGGTTTGAACCTCTCAGGGGATGGAATAATCATTTGCCCTATACAGGCCCCAATCCCAATAGAGGGGATTTTCAAAGAAGAGGCTATGGGGGGCCTACCGTGGAGGGGCAGACCCAATTTCAGAGGAAGAGGAAACTATTATGTTCCCCAAGAAAGGAAAATGGGAGATTGGAGACAGAAATATCCAGCAGCATATATGGAAAATCATACCAGAGATGGAAGGAGGGAAGGAAAAGGGGATGCAGAGTGGGGAAGAGGAAAAAGGAAAAAGAGAAGGATAATGCAGGGTATCTTTAACCTGAGTGACGCCACATTTACTGATGATGAACTCAAAGTGTTGGAACTTGGTTTAAAATATGCTCCAGATAGAAATATGGACAAATTTGATACATTTATAGATTTACAAAAATGTATTAGAAAGGTGAACATTAAGAAATATTTCATGAAAAAAGGATTGACAAAAGTACAGGAAGACAAGTAATATACACATACTAATTTAAGAAATAAGTAAATTTTTAACCCCAAGGTAACCAATAATTATTGTGTTGAGACTTTTAAAAAAAAATGGTAGAGCATGACTTGGAAGAATTAATAATCCCACCCCCTAGATAGAAAAAATATTTGATTAAAGGGGTAGAACAGTTGGAGAAGAAGGAGATCGTAATAAGGCAAGCAGACAAAGGGGGAGGGGTGGTCATTCTTAATAAGAGTGATTATGAGGAGGAACTGAATAGACTAGTAGAGGATAGGGAGACATATTAAGTATTAAAGGACAACCCCACTAATAAATATAAAGCCAAATTAAAAAGGCTTATTATATTGGGAGAAAAGGAGGAGGGTATACTGAACAAGAAGGCGGCAATGTATTTGGTATACCATAGTTCCAGCAATCTATCAAGTACCTAAAGTACATAAGGATTTACATAAACCACCAGGAAGACCCATAGTGAGAGGTGTGGATTCCCTTTTTGCAAGAGTTGGAGAATATTTGGATATTGTCAGAGATCGCCACGGCGCTGGTCCCGACGCATGCGCAGTAGACCGTCTCATGCGGGGATTCGGGTGCTAGGACTCAGTCCACCGCGACGACGGAGTTCACGCATGCGTACTGGCGGGCGTGAATGCGCGATTGGCACCAATGACAGCGCGGGGCGCGATATTTAAAGCGCCCAGTGCTGTCACTTGTTACCGAATGGTCTTTCTGCATATCCTGTTACCTGTGTTGTGAGTACTTTGATCCGATTGTCTGACCTAGCTGCCTTCTCCTGTCCTGACCCCTTGGCTTGCCTGACTCTGCTCCTGGATGTTCCCCTTTAGATTTGATCTCCTGTTATTGACCCAGCGTGTGACCCGACCATTCTTTGCCTACTGTTTTGTACCGCACCGACCCCCCGGCTACCGACACGGCTTGTTTGACTCTGCCCTTGTGTCAGGGCTCCAGGTATGGACCAGAGGTATGTGAACTGATGCAGGGAAACGCAGGCTTCAGATAAATTATAAACAATATAATTTATTAAAAGACTAACAATACACATAAACGCAGTGCAATACTAAAACATAACACAGTGCAAACAAACCAAACCAAACCACCCACAGATAACAGTACATACAATGCAAGCGTCGTCAGGCAGGCCGGGTTCAATAACAATCGGGCAGGTAGGTACAGGGGGTCAGGCAGAGAATTGGTCTGGGGGTCACAAGCCAGGGATAAAAACAGGAGAAGTCAGCAGAGGTCCGGATCAGGCAGGGTCAGCAACGAATCAGACAGAGACAGGGACAGGGACAGGAAACAGGAACAGGAAACAGGGATGCAGGAAACAAGATACAGGGCCCAGGAAAAACACACACCCAAGGCAGAGACTGCAGGTCTGGCCATCCTTAAATACACCTGCATAATCAACTTCAGGTGTTTGGCTGGCTGCAGGGTTGAGTCTCTGATTGCTGGGAGCACCGCTGGCCAGCCCTGGTACTGCAAAGCCCCACAAGGCAGGTGAGTCCCACCATTACTGGCAAGTCCATTCCTGGACAGTACCCCCCCCCCCTCAAGGAGCGGCCTCAGGACGCTCCAAACAGTCCTAGCTGGGCAAAATGTTCCACCGCCGGGTCTGGTAACTGGCGGGATATCAAAGACTGGCTACATCGGGCAGGACTAATCCGGGCAGCGGCACACAGGCAGGACTCCGGGCAGCGGCACACTGGGCAGGACTCCGGGCAGCGGCATCGGGTGGAGGCACATCGAGCTGGACTCCGGGCAGAGGCACATCGGGCTGGACTGCCGGGCAGCGGCACATCGGGCAGGACTCGGGCAGCGGCACACCGGGCAGGACTCCGGCAGCGGCACACCGGGCAGGACTCCGGGCAGCGGCACACCGGGCTGGACTCCGGGCAGCAGCGGCACATCGGGCTGGACTCCGGGCAGATGCACATCGGGCTGGACTCTGGGCAGAGGCACATCGGGCTGGACTCCGGGCAGAGGCACATCGGGCTGGACTCCGGGCAGAGGCACATCGGGCTGGACTCCGGGCAGCAGCACATCGGGCTGGACTCCGGGCAGAGGCACATCGGGCTGGACTCCGGGCAGAGGCACATGGGCTGGACTCCGATCAGCGGCACATCGGGCTGGACTCCGGGCAGCGGCACATCGGGCTGGACTCCGGGCAGAGGCACATCGGGCAGGACTTCGGGCAGCGGCACATCACGCAGGACTCCGGGCAAGGACTCCGGGCAGAGGCACATCGAGCTGGACTCCGGGCAGAGGCACATCGAGCTGGACTCCGGGCAGAGGCACATCGAGCTGGACTCCGGGCAGAGGCACATCGAGCTGGACACCGGATCACCAGGTGGAGCAGCAGGCACCGGGCCACCAGGCGGAGCAGCAGGCACCAGGCCACCAGGCGGAGCAGCAGGCACCGGGCCCCCAGGCGGAGGGGCGACAGGCATCGGGCCCCAGGAGGAGGGGGCGACAGGCATCGGGCCCCCAGGAGGAGTGGCGACAGGCATCGGCCCCCAGGAGGAGGGGCGACAGGCATCGGGCCCCCAGGCGGGGGCAGGGGCAGCGGGCGCCGGGCCCCCAGGCGGTGCAAGTGGGCCCCCAGGAGGAGCGACAGGCATCAGGCCCCCAAGGCGGAGCGACAGGCATCGGGCCCCCAGGCAGAGCGACAGGCATCGGGCCCCCAGGCGGAGAGAAACAGGCATCGGGCCCCCAGGCGGAGAAAACAGGCATCGGGCCCTCAGGCGGGGCGGCAGGCGCCGGGCCCCCAGGCGGGGCGGCAGGCGCCGGGCCCCAGGTGGAGCAACAGGCATCGGGCCCCAGGCGGAGCAACAGGCATCGGGCCCCCAGGCGGAGCGACAGGCATCGGGCCCCCAGGCGGAGCGACAGGCATCGGGCCCCCAGGCGGAGCGACAGGCATCGGGCCCCCAGGTGGAGCGGCGGGCGCCGGGCCCTCAGGCGGAGCGGCAGGCACCGGGCCCCCAGGAGGGGAGGCAGGCACCAGCCCCCAGGAGGAGCGACGGGCATCGGGCCCCAGGCAAAGCGGCGGGCGCCGGGCCCCCAGGCGGAGCGGCGGGCACCTGGTCATCTGGCATTGGATCGTCTGGCTCGACAGCGGGCATCGGGTCACCAGGCATGACAGCGGGCACTGGGTCACCAGCATCAGGTCATTTGGCTCGCCAGCGGGCACCGTGTCATCTGGCAAGGCAGTGGGCACCGAGTCACCAGGCACGACAGTGGGCTCCGAGTCAACTGGCATGACCGCGGGCACTGGGTCAGACATTGGATCGTCTGGCCCGACAGCGGGGCATCGGGTCACCAAGCATGACAGCGGGCACTGGGTCATCAGGCATTGGATCGTCTGGCTCGACAGCAGGCATCGAGTCACCAGGCATGACAGTGGGTACTGGGTCATCAGGTACCGGATCGTCTGGATCGACAGCGGGCATCGAGTCAACTGGCCTAATGGATCATCAGGCTGGATCAGTTCATCAGGCTGGGTAGAAACATCATGCTGGGTGGAGGCATCAGGCTGAATGGAGGCATCAGGCTGAATGGAGGCATCAGGCTGGGTAAGAGGCATCAGGCTGGGTAGAGGCATCAGGTGAATTGTGGGCGCCGAGGCACCAGGCTGCACCACGGAAGGCAGGTTCTCAGATGGGAGGCTGACCGGTTTGGATACTGGCAGGATGGTATTGGTTGGAAAGAACTTTCGCCCTTTTCCTGGTTTTAGTTACCGGAGCACCGTAAGTAAGCGCAGGTTTGTAAACGGATGGAGCAGCTGGAGACAGAGAAGAGCTGGAGGATGGAAACAGGGGAGAGAACAGTTGCTACAGAGGGCTTCTTTACAGGGTTAAAGGCAGGATAGGTGCAGCGAGTGGGAACAGGGTACTGACATGCGGTAGATAGCAGGGTATACTGGGCTGTAACTGGAGGTGCTGTTGGGAATGCAGGAATAGAGCTTTGAAGAAATAGATTAGAAGCAGGACTGGGTTTTTGCAAGCTGACTGAGGCTGGGTGCAACAAGTCTGACCATCTCTGCAGTATGGGTTGAACAAAGCTCAGCTGACACAAAGCCTGTCTGACCAAAAACTGCACTGCGTTTATACAATCTCTTAGTACTTGTTGTGAACATGCAGAATAACGCTCCAGAAAGTAATCCACATCATCCTCTAATAACCATACCAGGGACTCTACCTGGTCGGCACACTAAATGGGGGCAAAAATTCATCCCTGCATTCGGGGGTACCAGATGAAACCAACTCAGCACAAACCTAAATCAATGGCTGCACCTTAGAGAACTCTGTGCCCTGATCTACTAGGCAATGAACGATCCGTATACATTCTAGCAGTTCATCCCTGGGATACTCCTTCAGAGTTTGATAAGCATACTCTCTGTCATCAAACACTAGCAGAGATAAATACACAACCTCATCAAGATCCATCCTTCCCCAGCAACAAGCCAAGATGGCTTCCCTGTGCAGCCACTTCTGGTCAGGATTGGCCTTGGTGTAATGTCAGGGCTCCAGGGTATGACCAGAGGTATGTGAACTGACGCAGGGAAACGCAGGCTTCAGATAAGTTATAAACAATATAATTTATTAAAGACTAACAATACAAACATAAACGCAGTGCAATACTAAAACATAACACAGTGCAAACAAACCAAACCAAACCACCCACAGATAACAGTACATACAATGCAAGCGTCGTCAGGCAGGCCGGGTCAATAACAATCGGACAGGTAGGTACAGGGGGTCAGGCAGAGAATGGTCGGGGTCACAAGCCAGGGATAAAACAGGAGAAGTCAGCAGAGGTCCGGATCAGGCAGGGTCAGCAACGAATCAGACAGAGACAGGGACAGGAACAGGAACAGGGATGCAGGAACAAGATACAGGGCCCAGGAAAAACACACACCAAGGCAGAGACTGCAGGTCTGGCCATCCCTTAAATACACCTGCATAATCAACTTCAGGTGTTTGGCTGGCTGCAGGGTTGAGTCTCTGATTGCTGGGAGCACCCGCTGGCCAGCCCTGGTACTGCAGCCCACAAGGCAGGTGAGTCCCACCATTACTGGCAAGTCCATTCCTGACACCTTGCTCATTCCTCCATCCATCCATCCATCCATCCATCCCTCAGGGATCCCCGGGTCCCCTCACATCAGACTCTCACCCTGCAGGAGCCTCCAGCAGACTCCTCTACCACTGATAGAGATATCCGGTAGCTGCGACCTGGTCCCGGAGCGCTCCAAGTCCATCCCCACCATCAGGGGCCCTGGTGAACAAGTGCTCCGGAACTTAGACTCTGCACTCTGGAGAGGCTCTATCAGGGGACTGATAGAGGTGCTGTTGGGTGGTCCCTTACAGATATCTATCTTTCTCCAGCCTTTGACTCAAGAATTCCCTGCTTACCTTAAGGACAGTAAAGATCTCATTAACATCATAAGGAATATGTGTATTAAGGAAAATTGTGTCCTAGCTAGTGTTGATGTTAACTCATTATAAACCAAAATTAAACAGGGAGATGCATTGGACACTGTGATGTGGGCCTTACAGAAAACGAATAATTTGAAGAAGAAAAAGCAAAGAAACTTTCTAAAACAGGCCCTTAATCTAGCTATGAGCAACAATTATTTTCCAGCATAGAGGGAAATATTATAGACAAAGAAAAGGGGCTGCAATGGGTGCTAAATATGCACCCTCAGTAGCCATTCTCTTTATGAGTAAATGGGAACATGAGTCAATTTATGGAAAGGAGAGATCAGAATTAAAGCTATACAAGAGATATATCGACTATATTTTTATTGTATGGGAAAGGACACAGGAATATTTTTGGAGTTTATCAAAGAGATTGGCAACAATAAATATGGTATCTCATTTTCCGAAAATGTAGATAGGGTGTTCATTAATTTTTTGAATCTCACTATATTCAAAAAGGGAAGTAAATTGTGCACACACACTCATTTTAAGGCTGTGGATAGGAATGGATACATTCCTAAACACAGTTTGCCATCATCCCACATAGCTAAATACGATCCCAAAAAGTCAGTTAATGAGGATTAAACGTAATTGTGATGAGATTATGAAGAACAGGCAGATATTTTAATACAAAGATTTGAAGAAAAAGGTTATAAAAATAAGGATCTACTCAAAATTAAGAATACAGTTAAGGAAATGGAAAGAGAAGAATTGTTAAAAACTAAGGAAAAGAAATCCAAAGATTATGGAAAAGCATTTAATATGGGATATACACAACAACACAAGTTTGTAGAAGGAGTTTTTAAGAAATCCTGGCCAATTCTTTTGCAGAATGAAATTATAAAAAAAAATTGCCAAAGACACAACAATTCATTTATACAAAACCACCCACACTGAGAAATAAATTAGCAAAAAATGTAATCGATCCCCTCCAAAAAAAAAAAATAGATAGTTTTTTAGACCAAGCTCCACCTGTGGAAGGTGTTTAGCATGTATAACCATAAAAAGTAGAATAAGGAGAACTGATAACTTTTAATTGCATACAAAAGGAAAAGTTTTCATTGTTAAGAAATGTATTAAATATTTGAGCACCCATGTCACTTACCTTTTAGAATGTCCTTGCAAATTGCAATATGTGGGAAGTACAACAAGGAAACTTGGAGTCCATTTAAGTGAACAATTAAGAAAAATCAAAAAAGGATTTAGGCACCATAGTTTATCTAACCATTTTAGGAAGTTTCATAAGAAGGACCCTACACTCTTAAAACTTTGAGAGATTAATAAAGTAGAACCCTTTTGGAGAGGGGATGATTTAAAAAAAAAAAAATCAGTCTTGCAGAATGAAACTAGATGGATTTAAAAATTAGACACTTTGACTCCCAAAGGGTTAAATGTAGAAATAGATTTGAATTGTTTCCTGCCCAACTGGTAAAAAGTAATCATACATAAGTTCACCTAGAGTATGCAATCTGGGTGAACTTGTAGGTTCACTTAGAATGCATATTCCAGTTTTATTGTCTATACATTTTTCTGGGGTACTTTGATTTTACTATTCATAGATTTAATTACTAATTTTTTATATACATTTTTTATATAATTTTTTCTGTATTTATATATATTTTTTAATCCTTTGAGATATAGTTCCATTCTAGCAAATCCATCTTGTCATACTCCCTTTTTATAATTTATTTTTGTGAGTTATAGTTTAGTTATTTACTTCTAAGATTTAAAATAAAGTATAATTTTTTTTTCTATGTAAATATGAGGGATTCAGTAACATTCAGAATGGTCGGTTGTAGGAAATAGAATACTACAATATAGGTTTTGAAGTCATTACACCCTTCAGAAAATGCATAGTAGGAAGTGAGTCACTAGAATGGGAAGTCTTTAGGAATGTGTTATAAAGAAGATGGGAACTGGAGATTATTGTCTATGAGGATGCCCTCTAGGAGGAGTGAAACGCGTTGACACAATTTCTGGTTGTTTGGAGTGACGTCACGTCTGGTGAGTGGAGTGCAGGAGAACAAGCGTTGCTCAGGAGCCATTTTTAGGATACTGCATCACCTTTTTGAGGTTATCTGAGGATACTACATTATTACTACAAGGCTATTTGTTGTTTACAGAATGTGAATGTAATAGATATTTTATCATAGCTAATAAATGGCATGACAATATTACACTATTAGTGTTCCTTTTGCTTCCCTTTGGTACATATATGATGGTAAAGGAATACACTGATGGGTTGAACTTTTCCTATTACAACTTTGTATCCGGTACTCTGTTGAATCCTGAAAACATCTGTGAGCACACCAGAGAAAAGCGTTTTTTGGCTCTTAAGCCCACAAACTTGGAGTCTATCTTATCTGGTGAGTGAGGAGTGCACAAGGGAGGGAGCACGGAGCACAATGTGATTGGAAATTGTTTCAAGGTACAGGATATTTGCATTGGATTTTTCAGAGTATGTGACACTGTTATTGAAGTACACAAGCACGAAGTACTAGATATATGGACTTATTTGTAATGCTCTGTATTTATTAATTCTTCATATTATTTTTATTAGTGTATTTCACTTTTGCACAATCAGTTTGTTTGCACAATATTTTGGTCACAAACTGTTTTGTGTATAGTAGCATGGGTTATTTGTTGTTTAGATAAATTCCTAGATCTTGCCAGAATACAAGCTCATCCTATGGATAGAGATTTTGACAGAAAGATACTTCAGATTGAGACCAAATGGATTTTTAAGTTAAAGGTAACAAGGCTACCAGATCTTAATGACGCTATTAGTTATGCTTCACTTTTAGACCTGGTTTAGGGATATGTGGATTAAAGCTTATATTTGGGGCTGATATACAGTATGTGGTACATGCAAGCCATCGTTTGGCTTAGTCTCATGCTATTTCTTAGTATTCTGCATTTTATTTATTTTTAGTCCCCCTTTTTTGATATAACACTTTACACTAAAGGTTGAAATTAGACTGTAAGCCACCATGCTGGTCTATTTGCAATGCTATAATAAAATAGTTTTTTGTTTTTATTTTTATACCTTTGTTTTGGATTTTGTTTCTGTTCTTGTGTTCATTTTCAAGTTTGTTTTTGTTTTGTTTTTTTGTTTTGTCTTTTTGTTTACACCCTGATCACATTGATCCTGACTTTGAAATCGTGCACCTACGCTGTAATC